ACAATATTAGATAGAAAAACATGGAAATAAATGACTCTAAATTGAAAAATGGTATTCAGGATAGTCACTGTGTTAACAAAAAGAAGTTTTAGGAACACATTAAATTTATTTCACTTATATTTTCTTATATACAGATATATTTTTCACACATACACTTATATACAAGAGTGCCATATGATAAAATCTGCCTAAATCTAAGAGTTCTTTTAATAGGTATAAAATAAAAATTCTATATGATAAAAAAAAAACCTCCTCTTGATCTTTTTGCCTACTAGCCACTACCCATTTTCCCACTCTCTATACAACAAAATTGCCCCCCAAAGAGATGTCTATACTTACTGTCTCGTCCCTCTCCTATCAGTGCACGTTTGCCTACCACACCACCAAATCAGGTTTTAGAAAAGTCACCAAGGAACTTTATATTGCTGAAATAAATATTATATCCTCAGTCCTTACTTTACTTGATCTATCAGAAACATTTGACACATCACTACTTCCTTCTAGAAATACTTTATTGACTTGATTTCCTGGAAACACATTCTACTTGTCTCTCTCCTTCATGGCCACTGCCTCTCAACTCCTTTATAGCTTCTCACCATCTCTCTACCCTCAGCTATAGGCTTGCCCCATGGCTCGCTCAGACTGTTTCTCTTCTTCTTACACTACTCCCTGGGTGATACCATCCAGGCCCACAATTTTAAATACTACCCACACCCTGATAACTCCAAAATTTACATCTACATCTCTGACTTCTCCAACTGCCTGCTCAGCATATGCATCTAGATGTCTACTGGGTACTTCAAATGTCATTAGCTCCAGACATTCCTCATATACGCTTCCAATGCTATTCTTCCTCTAGTCCTCTCCATGTCAGTAAATGGCAATTCCCTCATTCCAGTTTCTCAGGCCAAAGATGCCAGAGTCAGTCTTCACTCCTCTCTTCTTCTCATATCCCTATTCATCAATAAACCCCTGCTGGCTCTACCTTTAAAATATATCCAGAGCCTACTCTCACCCCCATCTGCCCTGCTATGGACATCATCTCTTGCCTGAATGCCACACTAGCCTGATTGTTTCCATCCTTGCTGCTCTGCAGCCTGTTCAACGTGGTAGCCAAAGTGACAGTGTTGAAAAGGCAAGGCAGGCCATGTCACTCCAGTGCTCAAACCCTCTGTTGACCTCCCATTTCACTTAGAGTGAAAGCCGAAGTCCTTACAGTGGCCCACAAGTCCTAAAACTTGGGCTCCCGTTTTCTCTCTGACATCATCCCTACCACTCTCTCCCACACCCTCTCCTCCAGCTACAGTGGCCTTCTTGCTGTTCCTCTGGTATTCCTGCCATGCAATGACCTCAGGACCTTGGCACTTGCCAAGAATAGTCTTTTTTTTCAAACATCCACATTCTTGTGTTTCCTCACTCACTTCAGGCCCCTGCTTAATTGTCACCTCCTCAGAGAAGTATTTCTTGACTACTTTCTATAAAATCACACCACATTCCTCTCTAGTCCCTCACCTAGCCTCAAATGTCTTCACGGCACATTATGTTACAGAGTCATTTATTTGTTTATGGTCCACCTACACCAAAATCTAAATCCCTTTAGGGCCAAGACTTTGTTGAGTTTGTTTGGCGTCCAAGCCGGTGTCTAAAACAGTACCTGGCACACAGTAGGAACAAGGAAATATTTGCTGAAGGAACCCTTGAAGCCTGAATAATTCATTTTAAGACAATTCAAAGTTTACATATTGTCCCTAGTGATCAACATATCCGTTGAATGTCTTACTCCCACTCTAAGACATAATACAGAGCAAACTTTTAAATTTCAGAATAAGACCAAACACAGTGGCTCACAACTATTATCACAGAGCTTTGGGAGGCCGGGAGTTTGAGACTAGCCTGGGCAACATAGTGAGATCCCATATCTACAAAAAATTTTAAAAATTAGCCAGAAGTGGTGGCACACACATGTAGTCCTAACTACACAGGAGGCTAAGATGGGAGGATCACCTGAGCCCTGGAGTTCAAGGCTGCAGTGAACTGTGATCATGCCACTGCACTTCAGCCTGCGTGACAGAGCAAGACTGCATCTCTAAAAAAAATTATATTAAAAAAATTACATTAAATTTTAGAATAAGACTAAAGTAAGCTCATCGGCGACAGATTTGTGCTTGGTTATAGGCATTCATGGAGACCTTCCTACCCACTAAAAATGACATAAACACATGCCCTTCCACAACGTACTCCCAAAATAACTATCACTGGTAGGCTCTTCTCTTCCTCAATCATTCATGTGCTTTGAGTCCTAGATAGAACACTATTTGAGATGCAAAATAAAACTAATATATTATAGACACTGACTTTCTTGGATTTTTATTGACCATATGGATTTTATTTAATTTTTTTCTTTACAATAAAAAGAACATGTTAAATGTATAATTAAATGTGATTGATGTTTACCTCTTTAACTTATTATAAATCAAAACAGAATCTAAATCAGTATTTTAAGAAGTACTTATTTTTGACCTGAAGATCATCATCTTACCTAGATGGCAAGACCAAAAAGAAACTGATGTCCATACCCAGGAACAATAAGAGAATTGAGATCCCATTCATGTTTCTAGTTTGAAAGATAATCAATTAACTTATTAAGATTCTAAGATTCAAGCCTATAATTGAGCAATCATCATTTGCAGTTATTTATTTTTTTGAAAACAAACAAGGCAGAAGACTAACAACAAGAGAATGGAATAACATCCCACTCACTGAAATAAACACTCTTATTAAAACAGGCAAGTCATTATATTAATATAGCCCCTTTCAGGAAAATTAAATAGGCCATAAGCAAAACGGCAATAAACTAAAATTTTCTTTGTCAATATCTGCTCATAATAATCTCAAAATGCCACAAAACTCTGAAGTGAGAGCTTCCAGTTATTTCTCAGTTTAGGAGATCATGTGCTACAAGAAAATCATCTATTTCAAGTTAGTATCTTCAACAGAACCTAAGTCAGGTGGACAGAATGACTCTCAGACACAGCAAAAAGCCACAAATACTAGTAATGATATTTCTAACTTGAGAAGACTAAATTTTGCTGGGACAAGTCAGGGTTACGCTAGGTTAGTAGATTATTCACTACACAGTATGAATAGAGCTTATGGGGTAGGAGCCTTATAACTGGGAACAGCTAGAACCTTCCCCCCAAAAGATATATGAGGAGAGGCACAAATATTTAGGGTTATCAGCCCAAAGAAACTTGCAGAACTTTGCAATTGTTTTAAAATTTCAATTGTATCCTATTACTCTTAATATGACAATAGCAGAAAATAACTTTAATATTGCTAATAGTGAATATTTATTAAATACCTAGTATGTGCTGGGCACTATATGTCAAGTTGTTTCATAAAACCATTTAATAAATCTCATTTAAGAATGTAAGAACAACCTGTATATTACAAACTCATCTGCATAGCACTCAGCTGATCTTACCTCTCTGCAATGAAGCCAAGAACCAAGAAGAAAGCAAAAACAGACCTCGCCATAACGAGGTACTAGCCTTTCAGGATTCACATTTGAGAGAAGCCCCTCTCAGAGGACATTACAGGAGAAATTGCACTTAACTTGGAACCAGCAAGATCAAGGTTGGGCAGACTTAAGGACTCAAAAGCACAACGTCCTAAGGAAGGTCATTTAGCTGTCCTCCTTATCTCATCATAACCTGGTGGTTTATCTGATAACACAGTGTAATCATTCCTTGAGGGCATGTATCCTGGTGTATTCACTTCGGTACCCCTCGTAGGGAACAGAGGTCTTAGAGCATTGTACGTGCTCTGTTTTCACGAATGAAGCTTATAATGACAATTCTTAGCCATCAAAGGGAAATTATATGTAACATTCTAAAAGGAGAAGAGCAAACAAAACACACTGGAAGCTCTGACTGGAGGGGGGAGGGGGGCATGGGCAATATACATAATCTTAACATTTGTACGCCCATAATCTGCTGAAATAAAAAATAATAATAAAAAAGCACACACTGGAAAAGATTTTCATCTATTGTTAACATTCAAATAAGGATTTGAGGGTTAAAAAATGGAGATCCTCATCTGTCCAGAAAACGTGATTATTGAGAACTTAATGAATAACCACTAAGCATTCCAGAAAACTGAAGTTTCAGGCAATGTGCGCTGTGCTATCCTCCCTGCTGGTGGGCAAAGGCATCCTGTCCCAGGCTGCCTCCGGAGGCTACAGGCAGGGTGGGAAATGGGGATTTGTGGGACTGAACAACCAACTGACCGCAGCTCCCACAGAACTTTATTTAGAAGAGCAGCTCCCACCGTAATGGAAATGTCTGTTAAACCCCTCGAAGGGGTATGTAGAACTGGGACAACTCTGAGAGGGTCCACAGGGTTAGCAGTCACCACACAGGTTTATGGAAGAGTATAAAAGAATTAACCTCACTTTTAAATACATATGTCTCTCACCACTTACATGCCTGTTCTTTCTTGGGGACTGCCTACAGGTTGAAGACAGGGAAAGATATAGAATTTAAAGTGCAGAGGGACCCTGATGTGACACTGAGAATCAGAGATGAGTGTTGTATGCCCTAACTTTACATAATTATTAAGTCATATATAGTCAGTTCCTTCTTAAAAGGCACTGCTCTGGTTGCTAAGCTGCTGAGGTTCTGTATCATATAGGATTAGTGCTAAAATGTGTCACGGAAGGGACTCTTTCCTCTCCCTTTTAAGTTGAAAGTAGCTTTTTATACCCTGTGAAAGAGAACAGAAGTTCTGAATCGTGTTTAACATCCTTCTGTACAAAAACTTTCCGACAGAATCAATAAACTACTTCTTCACTGAATTTTGACTTTTGAGCTGACTCTAGGGTGCACACAAGCTTCCAAAGTCGCTTTTTTATGTGTGTGTGTGTGTGTGTGTGTGTGTGTGTGTGTGTATATATATATATATATATATATATATATAAAGCCTCAAAGAGGCACCTCCAGGCAAGGCTTGAGCCAAATATGCACTACACCACCTGAGCACAGCACTGAATGAAAGAAAGCGGAATCTCTAGTGAAACTTCTCATTTCCTGTCTCTGCTGAGCAGGCTGGACTCGCTTCTTCTCACATGGTTTAAGAAGAGCTATAAACACAACCATCTCCCTTGCAGGCTGGCCACAAGCTCAGAGGGCCTTCAAGGGCAGCCTCTGAGTTCGGCTCCCCTTTCCTCCCGTTGACCGGTGTCATTCCTGTAAAGATAACGGTACCGAACGCCCTCCACTTCCTAGAGTCCTCATTCACGTCATGGTTCCTCTTTCAAGAAAACATGGGGACAAAAGGCAAAGCAAAAGAACAGACTAAAGGCAAAATTACGAACACCTCGTTCCATTCCTCCTCATCGTTATTATAGAGCTGGATCAAATTCCCTTTGTCGTCCGCCCTACATACACACACACACACACACACACGCAGAGTAGGTCAAGGGTACCCTAAGAGAACTTATTTTTTTCCCGCCTCACGAAAGCCTTAACGCAATCCTCTCACCGTCTCCAAATGCAAGGCTTTAGCATTCAGCTGAAGAGCTAAACCGTTTCAAGCCAAGGTAGGAAAAGCCGAAGTGGTCCCAAAGCACAGGGCTGGGAGGCAGGGCAAGCTGAGCGCACCTAGATGTTTGCATTTACACAAAGAAATTAGCCGCATGATTAATGGGAGATGCCGGCTGGAGGCGGGGGCGCCCGCGCCGACCTCCGTACCTGGGACATCTGCGGCCTCAGGTTGATCTCCTTCAGGTTGATGGAGTGCGCGCGGAGGTTGTTGAGCAGCTGGCAGAGCAGGACTCCATCGCGGAGGGTCTGCGCCAGGTCGAACACCTGCGCGGAGTCCCAGGTCACCCGGTGGTTGGCGGGCAGCACCTTGCAGTGGATGAGCCACTGCGCGCACTGCTTCCACGGCTCCATGCCCGACGGCTCCGGGACGCGGCGGGGCCGGGGCAGGGGGCGAGGATGCTGCCGCCGCCGCGGATCCTCCGCGCCCCGCCGACGCCAGTCGCGGCCGGCCCCTTCCCTGCGCCGGTTCGAGGGAGCAGGCGCCGCGGCCGGCGGGTCGGGGGCGCTGCCCCGGGCTCCGCTTCGGTCCCGGCCCGAGTCCCCGTCCGGGTCCGCCGCAGCCCGGCCGCCGCCGCCGCCGCGAGTCCCGCGCGCTCTCCGTGCGCCCCGGCCGGCTCGGTGGCCGCGCACAGGCTTCCGACTCGCGAGCCCGGCGCCCCGCGACTGAGCATGCCCAGCGCGCCCGGCCGCTCTCGCTGCCGTCTGCGAGTCCCCAGAGGCGCGGGTGGGAGCGCGCCAGCCGCCGGGGCCCGGGTCGCCGGCCGAGGGCGGGGCGGGGCGCGGGGGAGGGGCGGGCGGGGTTGGGGGGCGGCGGCGACAAAGGGGATCCCGGCGCCCCCGCCCGCCCGCGGCCCGCGGGTTCGCGGAGCCTGCACCACCCGGGGCGTCCAGGGATTTCCTCTCGGGGCGGCTTCCTGGGTCTGGGGGAATGTGGGGTGAATACTGTAATACGTTGGGGTTCCCTCTGGGTCCCCCCAAACAACGAATGCATTTTTCAGAAAGGAGTCTCGGAGGAGCGACGGATTAACTGGGGCACCTGGGCTCCCCAGAGAAATGGAAAAAAGTGCACAGACCACCTGGAGAACACAGCGCCGAAAGTTTTAGAGATCGTCGCCCCTTCCGGTTCTGTTCCCTAAATTCTCTTCTGCAGATAATTCCTCAGTCTCTTCCTTCAAGTTAGTTGCTCCCGTGGGTGTTCTGGCACCTTAAAAGTGTCGGGGGGCGGGGAGAGGCGCCGGCAGGCACCGCTCCCATCTCCAAACCCATTTCTTTTTTTTATATATGTAATTTTTTTCCTTTTTTTTTTAATTTCAGCATATTATGGGGGTACAAACGTTAAGGTTACAAACCCATTTCGACACGAAGTGTTTTTCACTTAGAGACGGTTTCCCTCTCCGCTGTCAGGCTGGGACAGTTCACGGTTGCAGTTCTGACCCCTTTGCTGACCCCACAAAAACCTGCAGAAGAAAAATAGGCCTGGGACACGGCGGCCAGACTGCGCATGCGTCGGCGGCTGGCGGCGGAGTTTGAGAGCTAAGGGAGCCTCAGCCCTGGGCTGCCCCCGTCGGGCTAGGTTTTGGGGACCTTGTGAAAGTTGGAACACGCCGCGGGAACACTCGCGCTGGCTGAAGCAGCGCATTCGTGTGTCTTGAATTTCAGGGGGACTCTTAAACCCTGCCCCTTTTACTCCCACTGCGCACTGCCCCTCAAACCCAAAAATAATGTTTAAATGATTTGGGTTGAACTCTTGCTGTTGTGTGTAAATGTGATCCACGGTCACCTATTTGAGATGTGTTCTTTTAACATTTGAAAATAAAAATATAAAGTGCAGTTTGTTGGGGTTTTAGATAATTTTTTAGTTTCTAGATTTCTGTAGTTCAAGCTTTCTATTAGGAACCGTATTAATTTTATAAGCAGGTCAAATGTTGTTTTTAAGAAAATGATCTGTTCAGGACAGGGGCTGTGTCCTTATTTACTTGGCTGTGACAAGCGTAGCACACTGTGTAAGCTCAGCATTAAACAATAAATCAGCCTGAGGATTTCCTTTCTTCACATGCATCCTTCCCCAGCAATTTCCTCTTGTGTTCAGTGCAGATTCCATCCATAGCACAATGTTTCCTAGGCCATAATTTTGGCAAATAAATCATACTAAATTTTACATATCTTTAGAAACAAAATCCAGCATATCTGAATCACCATTTAATGCAAGGTAGTTCATAAAGAGAAATTAAATTGGACAGAAGTTTCATAAAAAGACAAAAAAGTAAACTAAAACTATGAATTTTGTTTGAGTTAGTACCAGATCCCCCTTTAGGTGTTGTAAGATATTTCCAAAATCCAGATTATATAAACTATACCAGGAGGCAAACCTGGATGTAGGATCGAACTCTGCTGCTTTCTAGCAACATGACCTTGGACAAATTATCTAATTCCTCTAAACTTCAGTTTCCCCATCTGGGAAATAAAAATAATATTTATCTAATAGGGTTGTCATCAGGATCCAATGAAACAATGCCTTGCTATTCAAAATGCAATCTGTAGACAACAGCATCACCCTGGAGTTTGTAGTCCCTTGAGCCCTACACCCAAACTAAATAATCCAGAACTTGAATTTTAAGATCCTCAGGTGACAGACATGTATTCCCATCAAAGTCTGAGAAACACTGATGTAATGCATCAAATGTATGGTGCCTGACACTTAATAAGACTCAATAAACATTACCCCAAAAGGCAGCAATGACCAAATAAATTCTATTTAACTTCTAAAATTGCGTATATTTTTAATATATATAAACTATGACTTCAAATAATGCTCCTCAAATATAATAGACCAGAGAGTTGGTAGAAAGGCAAGAAGAAAATATATGGAAGGCTTAGAAGAGAAGGAAGCTAGTGGAGCCACAAGGTTCTTCACCTAAACAAGGAGCTAAGTGGCAACAGATGAGTCATGTGGAAGACATTAAAGTGTCAGAAATTAGGGCAGCAAAAATGGCAATGGGCTTCTCACCTGAGCTGTCAGCACCAATCTTTTTCCTTTAAAATCTTAAAGATTCTACCTAGTAAAGAAGACAAGTTGGGAGATAGGGACTAAGCTCTGACATTGGCAACTCCCTGCTAGTCCTGGTCCCCAGTGTTCTTGCAGTGTGCAAGAAAACCTTTCTTGCATATCCAACACGGGACTTCAGGACCCCTTCTGTGGTCATGGTCCTACTGCCCTCAAGGTCTGCGGAACACCTGAGGCACATCCACATGCCACCATTTACCAAATGCCCACTGTATGTCAAGCACTCTATTGGGCACTTCACACACATCTGCAAGTTAAAGATGCCCCCCCCTTTCACCTGTATAAATGAAGAAGCTGAAGGTCAAAGGCATTAAGCACCTTGCTCTTTGTTGCAGAGCTCAATAAAAGGGTGAGCTTGTCTCTCCACATCTGTGTTCCTTCTGTTCAGAGCTGTAGCTCATTATAATAATTACCTTAGAGAGTTTAATTACTGATTTAAACGTCTTTCTTCCTGCTAGACTGAAACACCTATGAAGGCAAGGGTGGTAGCTTACTCATCTCCAAATTCCCAAAACCAACCTTGTCACATAACAGGCACTCAATAAATATGAGTTGAGTGAGTAAGTAAGTGAATGAAGGAGTGAGCTATGTTGTTCCCCTTTTGCATTCTCTCCTCTCTACCCCTTTTCCTGGTAGAGAAAAACATCAGGAAGGATTTGCCAGTGTTACCTGTACAAGGTATAAGGGCCACATGGAATAAAGGTCTGCTTTTTTCTATTTGTCTCCTTAGCCTTTCTGGGCCCACCAAGGTGAGCAGGCTGCCCACTGTTTCTCTCTTGAATTGCTCTGTTGTTTGGATCTTGCCACAGTTCTACACGTCATAGAAATGGGAAATGGGATAGATGACAATCTGAGCTGCAGGAAAGACAAGGACAACTGATAAAGGATATCACATGCTAGGTCCCTTACCATGTTCAGAATTACACCACAATCAGAAAAGTGAGATTTAGAGAACTCACTGGGTTATGCATCAGGCCTAATGTACCAAAAATTTGTGAAGTAAGGGAGGTGAAAGCCACATGAATTGATTGCTTGCTACATCTGTATTGTCACTCAGTCCTTACTGGATTTTTTTTTTCTTCTTATTCTTTCAACTCTTAAATTTACAAAGGCATTAAGATTTATCTACAACCAGGAAATCCGGAAACTCAAATTTATGTCACAAGAGAAGTAAATCATGAATAGTATATAGCATACCAACGATAAATATTTCTGAAAGAATTAAAGATGGAGAAATGTAAATATTATAGACTGCAAACTGAAATCCAGGCTGGCTATCTGCTGGGTTAATTTTCTTCAACTACAATCAAATGTAGTCTGGTCTCACATAAACATTAAGGATGTGGGCTTTAAGCTTCTGGCAATTTGATACTGTTTTAAAAATAAATACCAGAAAACCATTGTGAAGATAGGATGGGGGTAGAGTGAGATTTCTATAATAATTGTTCCTTTAATAAATGTGCCCAAATCAGTGTGAACTTAAAAGATTTTGGAATTATATACAACTGAGCGGCATCTTGTTATGATCATAGGATTTCTTTTCTCTTCTGACATGTTCAAGTACTTATTATAAAAGAGTAACAACAACAATGACAGTAATGACCTTTGCTCAAAATGGCACTTACCATCTAACAAAAGAAATTTACTTGAGGTAATTTATGGCACAAATAGCTTCCAAAGAAGCAGCTTAAAAAGGAGGATTAGAACATGACTGTAAGTCTGCTTGTCTACAAAGGATGGATTAATAAAAGATTGATTGACTAATGTCCAAATAAGTGAAAATACAAGTGTTCCCCCTCTCCACTGTAAGTACACACACATACACACATAGACAATGAGGCTCCAAAGGTTTATTTCACCATGTTAATTACACCTCAGCTGGGTCCTTTCAGAATCTGGTTCCCACTAAACATGCTGCAGCCCTCAAGCCATGACTAGACGCTAGTCCATTTGCCAAACATCAGCAGTGATCTACATATACCTTATATTTTAAAGATGACTAAGGAGGTTGGACTTACACGGAAAAGCTGAATAGCTCTATGTATTACTGTCAGCAACTAAGAACCTAATCTAATTTGTGAAATATTTATATTTCATTCGCATGTTGGTATAAACAACTTGCCCAAAAGAGAGCTTCTCATAGAAAGATGATGAATATTAAAATTCAATGTAAAGAAATTTTTCTGGGAAGTCCTTCATACCCCTGTTTCCACATAATCCTGTGCATCTCACAATCATTATACTGAGTTCTTTGCAGAGTAATCATTTGAGGGTCTGAGACAACAACCACCACTACCCTACTTGCACCCTCAGCCTGTCCCTTCTTGAGGTCCTTGGAAACAGAAATTGTACCTAATTCGCGTCATTTCTCCAATGCCTAGCACCTAGTACAGGATGGATGGATGGATGGATGGATGGATGGATGGATGGATGGATGGATGGATGGATGAATGGATTGATGGGTGGATGAATTTGATAAATGGATGGATGAATAAATGAAGTGAACAGGGATGTAAATTATCTGATCATAGTAATGCTGAGAGAGAAGAAAATTTCACTACCATTTCAGCATGTTGCCCAGATTTGTTCCTGACACCAACAATGTCCTCAGAAAAATAAAGCAATACTGTAGGGCAGATTGGCCTTATACACATGAACAGAGTGCAGGAGTACTAGAAAGCCCTCCTGTGCCATTCTTATTAAAAAAAAATTGCTTGATTTATGTTTCTTTAACAAATGAAATCTGTTATAGAACAATTAGAAACTCTCCCTGAAAAAGGCAATATATTTAGTTCAAGTCATACCTCATGCTTGAGATCAGATAATTACAACAGCAGCAGATATTTATTTAGTTTATTATGAGCACTGACAGCTAGCTATATAGCATGCCTTATATGTTTTATAACCTCATAACCTCTCTGACGTAGGTACTATTACTGACCTCATTTTATAGATGAGAAAACTGAGGCTAAGAAAGCTCAACCATCTTTCCTAAATCCAAGCAGCTGGTAAGTGGCAGAGCCGACCTGAACATCCTGACACCAAGATCCAAACTTTTAATTGTGATGCCATTCTGCCTCCCTGGAGATTTAAGACACAGAACAATCCCTGAGAACAGACTTCAACAAGATGCTTTTATAAACTGCCAACTTTAAATGTTCCACACCTCTGTGAACTCATTAACAAAGCACAATTTTTAATTTTATTTACATAAGTGAAATCTCCCCATTGCTATTCAAATAGCAGGAAAACAATCAAAATTTGTTTGATAAAGCAATTTAAAAATTTTTTATTCTTAAAATATTCCATTTTAAAATATTTTTTCAATTCTTTAAGCATTCTATTTATTCTTTTCTGATGTAACCCTTTTATTTTGCTTTGTTCTGTTTCATTTTGTTTGAGATGAACATGAGGTTTTGACATGCTGTGCTTTAGAAAAGCTATGGGTATCTTTTTTGATCCTCAGAATCATGACAATGCAGGAGTGATTCAATAAAAGGTTAACCAGCCTTTCTGGGAACTGCCATGACAAAGCTAAAAAGCACTAAAATGGAAAGAAATCTAATGTGCCTTATTAATCTCACACACAGACACTCAGACATTTATACATTTGTGCAGACTGTTTTTGCAATCTTGGCATTAGGTTACCTGTAAAATCATAGACTGGTTTTTATTGCACACACAAATGGAAAAGGAAGACCCACTGACCACACCAAAAGAACATGTTCAGGTCCTAATTATAATAACAACAATAGCAACTGTATCTGGTCAGGATAAAAACGCAGTAACTTTTCCTGCTTCAAATTGTTTGTTTGGTTACTGGCTGTAATTTTTAATCTGTTCTTACAGAAATTTTCTAGATTTAGGAAATAACTCATGTGTTTCTGACCTGGCTATCTTTGTTTCTGACCTGGCTGACCTCACTCAGGAACTAAAATCCAGGGCTATTTAAATCAGAATATACCATTAGGAAGGAAAGAGATAAATCTAAAGACAATTACTCTGAGAAAATAATAATAAATTATTTTAAAGAGAGAATAGGATGAAATTGGTAAGCCAAAAGAAAATAAGATAATTATTTTTATACATATTTAAATGTCATTACGATATAAGTAGAATAATCATTTCAAAAATTGGGAAACTATTGTCTCTTACCAGAAAACAAAATTCTGCCAATCTATCAAATCTGATTTACTTATCTTATTTAACAAGCATTTACTTAGCACATGTTAAAGTTCAAAAATACTCTTCTAAATTTTATGTGAGATTATAAAGCAAGAGTAAAACAGGGTTTCAACCAAATTTCTGTGAAAATTTAGTTAACCCAAGACCTTACAAGTGTACTTACAAGATAAA